CTCATGCGTCTCTCATCCATAATATGTCTTACTTCTCTGCCGAGTCGTATACTTCCATTCAATCTACGTACACCAAGCAAAGAATACCAAACATGGTCCCTGGTTTACAATCCATTCTGAATAGATCCTTCATCAACTCATTAAAACATTCAGATCGACCAAAAAGATCAAGTAAGTGGGCATAGTGTTCTAGGTCAGGGTCAACACCATGCTTATTATTCATGGACTTGAAAATCTGAAGCCCTTCATGAACAAGGCCAGAGTGACTACAAGCATTTAGAATGGCAACAAAGGTGGTCCTATTTGGCTTCACTCCTGATTTCAGCATATCATTGAATATCATAACTGCGTCATTACCATAGCCATAGTAAGCTAGTGCTGATATCATGGTGTTCCACAACACTACATCTTGTAAATTTTCACTGAAATTAAAGACTAGCCAGACATTTTGCATACATGTCAACAATAGCACTTACAACAACAGGATTAGGTCTGACATTATTACGCACCAAAAATGCATGTATTTGTTTACCATACTTCAGTGAAGCAATAGTAGCACAGGCAAACAGGCAATTACTGAAAGTAAATTCGTCAGGTCTAACTCGATGCATGATCATCTTTCTAAACACTCCAAGAGCTTTATGACCCATACCATTTCTTGCATAACCGCCAATCAAAGAAGTCCACGAATACGAATTTTTCTTAGGCATCTGACTGAACATTTCGGCAGCTGATTCCATGTCTCCGCATAAAGCATACCCTGAAACTAACGTCGTCCAAGCAGGAATATCCCTCGCGGACATATCATCAAACAATCTCCTTGCATCTTCCATTTTTCCACACTTAGCATAAGCATCTACAATTGAGTTGGAAACAACCACATTGGATAAAAACCCAACAACTAAAACCTGCCCATGAATCTGCCTACAAAGTTCAAATTCTTTCAATTTCACACAAACAATCAAATCTTCAACAGTTGACGACGACGTATTCAATTTCATCTCTTTTACTCTTTATTATATCTGCATTTTAATTTTATAGTTTTCTGATTCATTCTCTCTAGATTGTTCGTGGGAGCAACGTCGTTGTTTTCTCAGTTAAACCTCAATAAGGTATTTCCATGATTTCAGTGTGGTTTGAGAAAGAAACTTCGTAGTTTTATTGACTAACTTTGTTGTTTTTGTTGTAGAAAAGGACGTTGTGTTGAAATTGAAGTGACTTCTGACTAAGGATAAGGAGAAGCTTTTGGTTCTGTTACTGCTAGAATCAAGTTGAAAGGTCTTTAGGTAATGACATTCAGTCCTTGTTCACCTTCATTTCTTAATCTAGAGTCTAAACCATTAATATCATTATTAGATATGGTGTCGACGTGGTGTTTTTGATTTCCGTAATCTAGAGTTTATACATATTACATATAGTCAATTTGTTGGAAATAATTTATGACATTGTAGAGAATACAATAAGAACATGAATGCTTCATTCATTTTAGCTTATATATATTGGGAGAAATATATGGATTTTGAGTCAAATTTACTCAGACTAAACTGTGATACCAGGATAATTTTAATTTTATTTTTACTCAACTGTTTTTGGAGTAGAATTCACAGTAGACTGAACTGTTTTCAATGCAGCTGATTCAAATTCATAATAGACTAACTGTAACAAGATATTGATTGCAAATTTATATATAATTTAGCATAATCAGTTGCTAATTAATATCCAAATTACATTTCAATTCTAAACAAGCCCATACAGAATCAGCAAAAAAAATAAACCACCGGCATAACAACTAATATACTAACATTAAAGATATAAAGATCGTTGAAAAGAAATGTGACTTTTATTAATTGAATGGTCAAGACAGGGTACATGTGTGTATCCTTGCTGTTAAGAAATGTGGTTGGACCTAATTCAACCCTACAAAACCGGTTGGTAGAGGGAGGATTGCCCCCACTTATAAACACATGTTCATGCCATATATTGTCCGATGTGAGACTCTTAAAACACCCCCTCACGCTCAGGACTGGACAACTGAAGCGTGAAAATAAATGGTGGGTGGCCCGATAGCGGAAACCATAGAAGGTGGCCCACCGGATCTTAAATGAGGCTCTTGATACTATGTTAAGAAATGTGGTTGGACCTAACTCAACCCTATAAAACCGGTTGATAGAGGGAGAATTGCCCCCACTTATAAACACATGTTCATGCCATATAGTGTAGTACAAGTATCGAACGAGCAAGTTCCGCCGTTAAATTAAAATCAAAATAATTTCCGCCTTTGCTTCACGGCCATTGCCTCTGCTCTGCTCTGCCTGATGCTTCGCCTTCCATCACCACGTTGAGGCTTTTTCCCTCTTTTGAATTCTGCAGCTGAGTAAAGATCATCGGGCTGTAGAGAATGGCAGAAACTATGTCTAGCTTCTAGGGTCCAGTTACATCCACCAAAGAGTGCTGTGAAGAAAATTATATACATTCGTCTTACATTGCAGAACTTTATAACACTATATCCAACATTCCGACAATTATTTTGGCTCTGATTGGTCTTATAAATGCTCTAAGACAGCGATTTGAGAAACGGTTCAGTGTCCTTCATTTATCAAACATGACACTTGCCATTGGAAGCATGTTGTACCATGCCACACTGCTACGTGTGCAACAACAAGGGGATGAAACTCCTATGGTATGGGAGGTGCTTCTATACATGTACATCCTCTACTCTCCAGATTGGCACTATCGCAGTACAATGCCTATATTCCTATTTCTGTATGGTGCTGGTTTTGCAATCGCCCATAACGTGTTCCGTTTTGGTGTCGGCTTCAAAGTGCATTATATAATTCTGTGTCTGCTGTGTACTCCAAGAATGTACAAGTATTACATTCACACTCAAGATGTCTTAGCCAAGCGGCTAGCTAAGCTATTTTTATGTACTCTTGTATTAGGAAGTTTGTTTGGGCTTTGTGATCGTGTTTTCTGCAATGAGATATTGGGCTGGCGTATTAACCCTCAGGGTCATGCTTTGTGGCATGTCTTCATGGGTTTCAATTCCTACTTTGCAAACACATTCTTGATGTTTTGCCGAGCTCAACAGCGCGAGTGGTCTCCGAAAGTTGTGTATTTAATGGGTGTTTTACCATATGTGAAGATTGAGAAACCAAAAAGCCAGTGACAGATTTGGAAGCTTCTTTCTTATGATACATTCTAGCTATAGACAAGTTGTTGACAAAATTATTAAATGGGTGTCTTTCTTTTCTTTACTTCGTTTTCACTTTGTGGTTTTGATTGGCTTAGAAATGATGATGAATATTTGCATATTTTATTGTAGAAGTAGGATGTGTACCATATTTATCTTGGACCTTAACTCAATATTGGCAAAAGTGAAAAATAAAAAATAAAAAAATGTTAAGAGTCCCATATCGGACAATATATGGCATAAACATGTGTTTATAAGTGGGGACAATCCTCACTCTACCAACCGGTTTTGTAGGGTTGAGTTAGGTCCAACCACATTTCTTAACATGGTGTCAAGAGCCTCATTTAAGAACCGGTGGTCCACCTTCTATGGTTTCCGCTATCGGGCCACCCACCATTTATTTCCACGCTTCAGTTGTCCAGTCCTGAGCGTGAGGGGGGGTGTTAAGAGTCCCATATCGGACAATATATTTTTAGTATTTACATGTCAAACACACCTAAACCTTCATCTAGAAAGCAAGGGTTCCTACCATAGCAGTTAAGTTGATGGCATTTTCATGGTTGTGTTTGACATCTTCATCTAGAAAGCAAGGGTTCCTACCATAGCAGTTAAGTTGATGGCATTTTCATGGTTGTGTTTGACATCTAAAAGAAAGGGTACATGTGTTTATAAATGAAGGTTTGTTGTTTCTAATATTTGAGGAGTGGTTTTGCATTTCACTGATATCGTAAAGCCTTAGGTGTGTTTGTATTACATGGATTGTAGTGTTTTTCAGTGTGGTGTGCGTATCGGTGTGAAATTCTTCATCTGAGAGATAAGCCTGACAAGCAAGAAATGGGAGATTAAGTAACATAGTACTATCATAAAACAAAAACATAAATTATATGCCTGCCATTAGAATTTGAAATATTGCAAATTAGAATAGCCCCAAAACTGAATAAAAAAATTAATAAAATCAGAGGGGTGGGAAAATTCAAGGGAGTGCTTGTAATATTCCGGGGCTACTCCGATCATAACTGAATGTCCTTTGACTACTATGGTCATTATTTTCATCTTCCACATTTTCTTGACTAGATTGCAGACCTTCATTGCTACCAGATTCCAGGGCAACTTCTTCCATTTCCTTGGCTTCAGTAGTTTCATCACATTCAGAATATTCACTTCCACTTTTAACTTCTTGAAGGTACGCAAAAACCTTACTTTTCTCTTCATTTTGTATGGGTTTGTTGGTTGATTATTGAATTATGTTGTCATGGAGGTTGGTTTTTCTCCATTGTTTCAGGCAATCTAGATTTTGAAATACTTGGCCAATGATTTTGCATGTGACTTATATGTTAAGTTACATCAGATTGGAATGTGAAAGTGGTTTGGTTAATTGTTATTATGGTATTAGGGTTCTAAATGTTGATTGTTGTTTTGCTTTTAACAATTTGTATGTGAATCATGTAAGATTAGACAAGTATTATACCTTATATGTATGCATAGAATCCATCGGTAATTTCTGCATATTTTAACTATGCAGAAAATGGATTTTCCATGGAGGAAGGTATTTGCTAGGATTTTTAAGTATTCATACATTTCCATTTGACTAGGATAAACATGATTAGCTGGTCCAGTAGGGCCATATGCTCATAGGACCCGAGCTGACCCAACTGTTAGTTGTTTAGTTAATGTGATTAAAACACAATCACCAGATTTTAGCAAATGAAAAAAATGCATTAAATTATATACCTACTTCATGGAAATTAAAACAATTCATGAGAAAGACATGATTGTATATAACCATATACGTTCAAAATTAAAAACAAAGTTAAACCATCAAAAGGAAATTAAAACCAAGCCTTTTCTGTTCTTTTCTGCATCCTGAATGAAACTCAACTTGAAATGCTGTAAATTCTGAGAGACATATCACACATTCCGTATCCAAACCTGGTAATGTCAGCTCAGTTGAATAACTCACTGTTGGGAATGTTTTGAGAGCTTTCTTCTTGATTCCTTTGTTGACCAATTGAGGTGAAGAGTTGCTGCTCGAACTCAAAGAAGCATTATTGTTGATGGCTACGTTTGAAAACCTCAAGGCACACTTTATGATGGAGTTTAAAGCAAGTGAGCAAATAAGAGCACATAATAGAACTGCAAGTATCATCACAACATTTGCATCAGTTTCGCTAAGACCAAAATATAAGTTTGTTGAATTGTTGTGTGTGAGAACATGAGAGGTTGTTAATGATTGATGATTAATAGGACCTTGGAAGAGTAACTTTCTTGTGTGGGATTCCACAAGAAGCTCATGGAGGAGTGGTGAAGTAAAGGAAGTAGGAGCATACATATTTTTAGCTGAAGAAGTTGATGAGTTCGTTCTTTAGAACATGATCTCAGGTTACTAAGCTCTGAGTTTTCGCTATTTTCTTTTTTGAAGAATGTCAAGTGGAGCAACGCATTGGTGTTATGAATGCAGTCGGCCCATTGTGCTGGAAGGGAGAGATATTGTCTGCCCTTACTGTGATGATGGATTCATACAAGAACTTGACGAGATGCGAGGCGTTGCACCTCAAAATACTCTTCCGTCACGCTCGGGCGAGTTTCATCAAATGCCTGACTTATTTGATGCTATTCATGCTTTTGTGGGGAACAGAGGTTCCGAAAACAGGTTTGGGCTTATGGACGCTGTTGATAATTTCATGAGACATAGGATGGCTGGAATGCACCCGAACTTTGATGTTAGAGGGAGGTCCGGTTCGTCTGTCCCGGTTCCTGAACAGAGTTGGGGTGTTTATAGTTCCGGTCCTTTTTTAGTATTTCACAGTCAATTTCCTGGATTAAACTTACCTAATGGAAGCTCGAGAGGAGGTCCAAGGCGCGGTGATTTTGGTGACTACTTTATGGGTTCTGGACTGGAAGAACTTATCGAACAACTCACTATGAATGATCGACATGGTCCACCCCCAGCTGCACGATCATCAATTGATGCAATGCCTACGATTAGGATAACTCAAGCGCATCTTCGCTCAGATTCACATTGTCCAGTCTGTAAAGAAAATTTTGAACTTGGTTCTGAAGCAAGAGAGATGCCATGTGACCATATTTACCATTCTGACTGTATTATTCCTTGGTTGGTTCAACATAACTCGTGTCCTGTTTGCCGTGTCAAGCTGCCACCACAAGGACAAGTTAGTTCTCGCGGTGGTAGTAATCGAGGTTGGGGAGGAAGGAACGGTGGCAACAATGGTGGAAATGGTAGCTCAAGTAACAGGGAGAATGACCGTCAGAACAATGGAAGGAGAAATCCGTTTTCATTTCTGTGGCCATTCTGATAATCAATATTCTGAGGGAAGCACTTCTTCAACCAATGCTGACCAGAATAATGGAACTAGTTACCATGGATGTGGGACTCTTAACAATAAGGGATTATATATAGGGCAGTTATATAATAAGGTAGAATTGATATGGAATTTGGCTTTAATTAAAGTTTGAATAAACTATTATAGTAGTTAATGTTTTTTTATCCCTTTTTTCTCCACTGACCACTATGTCTTTTTGTGCATTATTTAATTTAATGCAATCTGGCTTTATAATCAATTAGGGTCCATTTTAATTCAACTTTATGCGAAGCAGAATGGGGCGAGTGGCACCTGCATTTCACAAGGTTAAATTAAGACTTAAAAGAATTTAATTCAATGTCTCATCTTTTGTGTCCATATGAGAGAAAGAAATAGAAGCAAGTGGACAAGTGAGTGGAAAAGGTAGATTGTTTTCTTATCTGCCAACTTTCTTTTGGTGATACTCCTGTAAGTTGTGACAACTTGAGGTTCAAAAAATTAACATCAACCATCGAATTATGGTTGGGAAGACTATAGAAATTGATTTACATTGGAATTTAAATCCATAATTTCCAAGTCCAAAACATTTCTTTTTACAACTAGATCAAATCTTTTGAAGATGTCTTATCAACTAAATGAATAATATTCATATAATTCAAAATATACATATACTTTAAATATGAACCAAACACTTTTTTTTTTTCCGATTATATTTAAGTTCAGAGAGGTAATATAATTAAAAGAAAGAAAGCTCAGATCATGCTGGCAGCTTCAACTGTCATCGGTGAATGATTCCATTATTCCTCTATATATAATATTTCAATTCATGATAATATTTTAAGTGATAATACTTTTAAACACATATTCATGACAATATCATATTTTTTTCTACATCAACTCATGCTCCATGTCATGGAAAGGTAACCATATATACCAATATTTTAAGGATTATCTCATAGAGATGCTAACAGTTTCCCAAAGGAAATGAGACCGCAAATTCATTCCTCTACATCAATTCATGCTCCATGTCATGGAAAGGTAACCATATATACCAATATTATTGATTTATGTTATTCTAATTGTGTTATACTATCTAAATTCTATGGTTTAATAGTATCAAAAATATTATATAAAATTCTTTTTTATAAGTAAAATATTATATAAATCCTGTTGTTTAAAAATTACTCGTTGAAATTGAATATGCACCATGAACTGAACACATACTCATTACAACAATGCAAACTTTTCTATTTCTTCAATTCTTACAAATGTAAATGCCTCCATTTCTCCATTAAATGAGCAGATTTCTTCTAAAACAATCCCTTCCTGAGAGCATGAATTTATTAGTCAGTCGAAATTCTAGTAAAAAATGACAGACTTTGATCTTTATAGTAAAGACTTGTCCTTCAGAACTCCAAAAATTCAGTCACAACTCACAAAATAAAGTGTCTGGAAAAAGACTTTTTAAAAGTGCTACAATTTGCAACAACAGTTAACATAACTTCACCATTACTACTATCATTGTAAACTTTAGTTTCAATTTCACTCTCAACATACACTGAAGAATTGCATTAAAGCTTCAAGTGTCAGTCTTGAATAATTTTATGTTTACAACAAAATCAAATATCTCTTTATATGTATTTTAACACCTACATTGTATATTCATACAATATAATATATTTTATTTCATTTATTTATTATTTTTAAAAAAATTAGAATTTGTGCCAAAAAAAATAAAGCTTTAAGAAAGACTGTGTATGTCTACGACATCACAAGTATACAATGTACATGACTTATACTATTGACTTATTTATTGTGTGTTGGTTAAGAAGATATGATTTATGATAAAGAATGATGAGTGCAATACTTTTGCCATGGATATTCTTACTCTACATTAATTGGTAGAATAGAAGAGACCATATTTTTGTTTAGTGTGTGCAATAATCTTGTTTCATGTAAACTATCTCTAAAACTTAATTTAGGTACAATATATTTTGATAATATTTTTTAAAATAAAAGATTAAATTGTTTTGTTTCTGCAATTTTTTTTGGGAAGATATTCAATCTTACAAAAACAAATATGATGTATTTTGTTTTATTTTCTTATCCAGCAAGGTATTAATGAAGATGTTGAAAATGACGATATAAATGATGAAATTCAAGAGGACGACGTAGATGATGGATTCCAAGAGGACGTTGCAGGTGATAAATTTCAAGAGGACGACATAGATGTAGATGACGAATTTCAAGAGGACGATATAGATAGTGAGTTTCAAGGTGACGAGGTAGATGAAGAATTTCTGGAGGACGACATATGTGATGAATTTCAAGAAGACGATATGGATGATGAATTTCAAGAAGACAAACTTGAATGAGTTGGATGATGTCTTTTTTTTTGTTGCTTGTAGTTGAAAGCATTAGACTTGAACTATGTTTTTTGTTATTTTGCTAGGGTCATACTTCAAAGTATTAAACTTAATTATTATTATAAGTAATGTTACGTTAGGCATTTTGTTTACTAACTACTATCTTAAATTAATCTTTGAACTTAATTTTATTATAATATAACATTTGTGGATGGTTAAATTTAATCTTGTTTAAGTTATAATCGATATTTTTTTTGAAGTCAATCATCATCGACTAAATTATTTAAAAAATAATTGTAAAATGTATATTTTATTTGGACACTGTAAAAACAATCCTACTGATTCAAAAGGTGGGGACACTGTAAAAAAATTCCTCCTTATTTTATTGGGACACTTTAAAAATAATTCTTCTGATTCAGATTTAAGGAATCACTTATTAATTGTAGCCGCATTTGGCAACACTTAAAAAACATCACCTAAGAGGCCACGAATAATCGTCCCATATTCCTTTTGTAGCAACACTTAAAAAGTGTCGCCTCAGTGGACACGATTAATCGTCCCCTATTCCTTTTGTGGAAACACTTAAAAAGTGTTGCCTCAGATGCCACAAATAATCGTCCCCTATTCTTTTTGTTTAGGCGACGTTTTTAAAAATCGTGCCCAAAGATCATGAAAAAATGACCCCCTAGACAATAGGCAACGCTCGCACAGGAGACGCCTAGAAAACGTCCCCTATTCTTTTAGGCAACATTTTCCAGAATTTTGGCAACATTTTTGAATGGTTGCTAGAGAGTCTAAATGTTGTAGTGGATTACTTTTGACAGGGCTGCCATCAACAGAGTGTTAGGCGAACCGATCCATCTAGGAGTTAATGAATTGGATACTTATACCAGGAATCTGAGGACCAACCCAAGCATTAATGATATTTCAGCCGCTCTCTTATTAAAGGGAAAATATGTGGAGATAAAACCGTCTGGGGAAGCTGTAAGATTCCATCGGGAAGACATGATTCCCATTGCCCAGTTGATTCGGGTATTGGTCCTGACAAATATAAAGCCAAGGTCCCACACATCAACCGTGCCGATCTCAGTGGCACACCTTGTTCACTGCATTCTTACAAATGTACAAATTGATGTCGCTAGGATAATCGCCAATGAAATTAAATCGATTGTGGAGAGTGGTTTAAAGTCGGGGGAGCGGGTTAATTGTCCCCTCGTCTTTCCTTGCATCATTATGGCCATTTGCTCACAGTCGAGGCTGAAGCTTCCGTCCCGAAGCTTAGTAAAAATCCCGGCAGCAATCGATGATAAGTATGTGAACAAGTACTGTAAGCCAAAGACTTACATGAGTGACACAGCTGCAGGTGAAACCGGACCTACTGTTGGTTCCGGTGGTTTTTCTCAAGGGTTCGACCCATTCCAACAGGCATTGTGTAATTATAACTGTGATTGGATGACATTTACACAGCGAGCGATGGTAGACATTCGTGATTCTATGCAGTTGATGCAACTTCAAATCCGTGACCCCTCCACTGAGCGTCCGATGATGACGCGTGAGCAATTTTTGCATCACGCAAGCTGGCCCGTGGACAGGCCTGTCTTTGGAGAGGGGGCGGGTGCGAGTGGCCCTGCTGATACTGATGC